AAGCAATGCAGTCAATAAATATTCTAGATATTTTTCTGTTTATTGAATGAAATAATAATTTTATTATACTGTATAACTGTAAGGCAGTTTATTTAATATAGTTATCACTGGCAGCAGATGAAATGTCATTCCACACCATATCTTTTTTGTGTTGTCATTATACAGTATGCTGTAAGGACTGCTGGGGACACAGAATAGTTCTCCACTTCAACAGCAGGTCTTACTGTAAGTGGTTTATCTTTGAATTGCTTCTTGAAACAAAATTTTCACTGGAAACAAACAGCATGTGTGATGTGGTTTGACATCTCATTGTTTACTTGGCCTGTGACCTCATCAACTTCAACCACTGGGTTTCAATGACAGCACTGGGAAACTAGTGGTGGTTGTGGGTGTCAGCACCCCTGCAAGTGTGCCATAATTTCTGAGGGAACGGAAGGCCTCTGGGAGACCATAATGGTAGGATGGTATGATGGAGAAATAAAATATTTTACTTTACATAGTTGACTATTGTGTTTTTATATCCCACATAACACACATAGACATGTAAAAACAGACTTGATCATAGAAAAACAGAACAGGATGAAGTGCCTCATGCTTTGGTGCACTGCTCTTGCACTGCACATGTAGCCAGTGTAGATTGTAGCATTGATTACAATAGATGAGTCTACAGGAGCAGCAGATGGATGGTAAGCGTAGCTTAGCTATTAGGAGACCAATAACCCCAAGCTGCCTCTGAAAGCCAAATACACAGATTAATTGAAAGCAGATATGAGGTATTTTTATCTAGAACTAAAACTGTAAATGGCAGATTTTTCTAAAAGGAACATGGAAGAGTTCCTGGCTTAACAGCACTCATTCAGCTCATACCACATCTGCATCAGACATAAAAAAAATCCAGATCACGACCAGTGTTGAACTCATTTAACAACAAAGCCTTGTTTGTTAAAGACAAGACGTCAGGCAACTGATATGCCAAAAACAGCCTACATTTCAGTAGTGAATACCAACCAGATTGTTGAACAAAGAATCTGCGCCAATGGGAATGAACAATATTGATACTTCTTTTAACAGAATCTATGGGGAAGAACCCTCTGATTTGTGTTGATCAGAAAACACTCCTTTATGCAATGTTGAGTGATCACAGCCATTGTGTAGTTCATATGTCAATGACAAGATGTTACTAATGAAATATAAATTGTGTGAGAGAGTACTGCAATAATTGTTGTTTCCCCTGCAAAGGTAACTGGTGCCAGTCTAAAGCATACAGTGGCCTAAGTCAGTAAGAAGACATGTGAAACTCTTCAGTTTTTATAGAATCGTTATTTTAAACTGTTTCATCGGTATTGATTAATACATGAAAACCTTAAAGCTTTGCCAACATTTTCTTTGTATATTTTGGATATATTTGAGTGTAAGGGGCTGTGGCGTACACTGTTGTAGCATTAGCAAAGTGGCATGGAAAAAAAGGAGCAATTTCAAAGCTCTCAAGACTCTCCAAGGAATAGCAGGCAAAGTAAAGCATGAGCACAAAACATTCGATTGCAAGGTTACAGGTTAATAACTTACTTCAGGGAAAAACCCGGTCATGTTGCATTTATCAACATTTTGCATGTGGAAGTAGCCTGGGAGTGCTGGATATGGATTATTTGGACATATTCATGTGTAAACCTTCACATTATGCAAAGAAGCACTCAGTTTTTACAGTCATTAGTGTTGTATAAAACAATAGCATATAAATCTGTGCAATACTAGAGTTAATGGTCTCTTAATGGCTTTGTGGTTAAGCTGCAGAATAGCAACATTTTAAGGCTCTGGAAGGATATGCTTTATAAGTCTAAAGAGCAGCAATAAACTAATTAAGAATATTACACTGAAATTAATGATATTTTCCAATTAACAGTTGTGATGTTATTAATTAACAGTGATCCACATTTGAAATGGCAGATTCAAAAGGCTTTTAGTGATAAATGTTCTTCCGTCTTTTTTTTTCTTTTATTTCTGTCATACCTTTGGTCAAAATGAACTGGGGCTGTGTTTTATGACCAATTCTAAACTCATTCTGTTAAGGCTCACACAGTCAAGAGCCTTAGAGGATATCAGTTAGAATTAGGTAAAAATATTCATTTATGTGGGATAGGATGAGAAAAATTGAAATTTATCTTTTTGTTATTTTTTCAATGAATTAAAGCCTATTTATTTTTTTTTGTTTTGTTTGTTTTTGGTTGTAGTTGAGAAATAGTAAAAAAAGTCCAAACTTCAAAAGGTTAAACGTTTTCTTTGACAGAACATCTCTTGTCATTCAGACATTTTAAACTCAGTTCAAAAAAGTTTCACACACAACTGCAAGTCTGTCTCTAAACCTTATTCGTATTGTAATTGTGACCCTAAGCCTTTCTCTTACTGAAATATTACAATCCAAAAATCATAAAAATTAAGCATCTCACATACTGTTCCAAAACCTTGTTGAATACATGTCAGCTATTTGCAATGATAATCAAAACCTGATTGTTTTTATATAATTGTTACAAATATTCTTCAGAAGCAATGTGGTGAAACAAGTGAAATATGAAGAAATAAACCATTGTGGAGATGCAATTCTCCACACTTTGGTACTTGATTTGATGATTTGTTACTATCTTCAAGCAGTAGCATTGCCACCATCTAGCCCAAACATGTCAGATCTCAAAAGCCAGCAAGGCCAGGCTTGGGCTGTACTGGCATGGAAGACCTACAGGGAAATTCACATCCCTGTATTAAGTGGTATTGCTGGAACAGTAGGTACATAAAAAAAATATCTCCAGTTGTGTACTGTCTTACACATTTAAAGCACCTTACATATTATACATTTTAAAAATGGAAAGAAAATTATAGTTCAATGAGTACGCTAGACAGATGTGCATGATAATACAGCTTCTGAGGTTGATTCCTTACAGAGTCAGAGTAAAGCAAGCTGAGGTGAATGTTTTCTACAGTATATGATTGGTACAGCTAATTTCATGTAAGGTTTAAATTGTATGTACTGTAGATCTAAAGGGAGCAAACTTATTTAAATGCTAACCATCAGTGGTAAAGCACTACTGAAAGTGGTCTGGTATTTTTTGGATTGAAATGCATAATGCGACTGGGCAGCCCCAGGACCAGTAAAGTTATTGGTCTATCAAGAAAAAAATGGATTGCTATGGATTTCTGTCTCCAGAGCAATAGGGAGCCATTGTAAGACAGTGTATGACAAACTAGGGGAGCTACGGTAGGTATAAAATATGTGGAAGTACATTTAAAACAGAACAGGAGGTACTTTTTTATACAAAAGGTTGTGGGAAATTTGAATAATCTAACCAAGTATTGAAGCCTGTACACTGTTAAGAAATGGTTGAATGAAACAGGATTAATAAGCTACCAGCAACCAAAGAAGCCAAACAAAAGGCCTCCTTTCATTTGTAACCTTTGTTATGTTCTTATGGTAAGGGTTCCTGTCACCTACATCCATGTTGCAGATACAGGTTGAAGCAGATGGTGGTCCTGAAAATAGCAAGGTACTGTGTAAGCTCGCCAGGACAAGACCAGCACAAGACAAAAGTATTAATGAAACTTTATAAAACCTTTGGTGGAAGAACCATCTCATTAGAGATCCACCCAAGAGATTTACCTTGGAATTACACTGCAAATGAGTAGCAAATAACCGCCATCTTTTTGTTTTCAGCTTCAAATAATATTTTTATTTAGGGAAAGGGATGGGATTAGACAACAAAGGAAGTTAGTGTATTGGCAAAGGTTTTTATATTTGAGTGTTTCTTGAATAGCTTCTGTCTCTGTAACGAGGGAAGGGTTAGAACCGAATCGCAGGTTGCGTCGTTTCACAATCACACTTAATCGTTGGTATACAAGTACAGTATGTCACTGAAGATTTTCGCCTGTGCGTATTGCACAACAATTCATAAACCCTTTTTTTAACGAGTCACCATAACGTAAAAAGGGAATTGCACTCTTCAGTAAGTACTACTTCAGTTATGTTTTGGCAATTACAGAACAACACAAAGGGCAAACTACTGTACGTTGAAGCACGTACGGTGAGGGGACAGTGAATTAAACTGCTATTGCACACTTAAGTGTGAACATATAGTATACTCTAATTAGTATTTAATGTAACATGCTGGAAAGGCGGATATTACCACGTTGACAAAAGTCGGGTTACCAAATGAATTCGTTTATTTATTGAGTAGGATCAGTCCATACTCTATGTTCGAATTATTGATCTTTCCATCCTGCCTTATGCCTCCCGTTTCGCTCTATATAACACAATTAAATTTTAGTGAATGATGAGGCTGTCATTCGCATTATAGTCTCGCTAGCTCATTTAAGTCTCTCCTCTCTGGACAATAACTCACAAGCGCAATTGTAGAGATATTCCTAAACAATAAGAACCTACTGTATATAATCTAGAGTGTATTCCGTCAACATCAGTCACAATCACGGAATATCTCATTTTAACCTGTTTATGGGAGAAACACAGGCAGTTCAGTTGAGCCGGTCCGCTTTGCATAAGAGAATGCAGAGCGTTAAGGCATTGGTTGTAGTAATATTCAATACTCGTGCGTTGTTTCACATTTTCTTGTTAATTTAAGTTAATGTATGTAACTTTAGTATAGTGGCCACTAAAATTTTGATTGAAAGTGATGTGATAGTCGTGTTTCCCAAAACTGCTCATCATCTACCCATGAAGCCGAAATCTGATAATTATATATATAACTATAAAATACCATATTCATCCGAAACATGAAGTCTAAGCGATGCACGCCCCTAGTTGCTGAAACTTCAACACAAACGGCATGCTTCATGCTGAGCAACACCTAGAGCATTTCATATAACAAGTACCATAGTGTTTTCAAAACAGAATATCACAAGGTCCAGCTAGGATATGACCGATCATTATTTAAAAAGCTACGACTACGTTATCAATGGAAGGTTTTTTTCAAAGGGGATAATAAAAAGTACGTTCTTACCTGTCTTTATGAGCAAAGAAAAGGCAGAAATCCTGAAATATCTATAATTCCTCGGCTGATGTCCACATTGTCAGTAAGACGCTTTACTGTAACAAGTAATCCCGATGTCACTCTGTAACAATAAACCAGCAGAGAGCAGATAAGAGGGAGGGAGGTTGGCGAGCAGGCAGGCAGTGGCTCTGGGACTACCCCAACGGGATCCAATTACAACAGACAAATGAGAGGCTAAATGAAAACAATGCACTCTGGGTAAGACCATCTGCCAAGGTCCCAAGCATTCCACCCCCACCTCTTTGCCAAGGAATAGGAAAAGAATAGAGCTCTAGTATCGTCTTGGTCCACTTTATGATTCAAATACTAGAGAGATACATTCCAAGTCTTAGGGACATCCTCATTGGTCTTCCACCCCGGTGGTGTAACGTTAATATTGTAGCATACCCCTAGCTGACGTGCTCGAGATCTTCCCATCTTCTACTTAAAATAAGACGCAGATTCAGCATCATTTGAGTGAATGAACTAGTGGAATGGGTTTTGTATTGCTTCGTGCCCCGCATATTCACAACAGTTTCCTTTCTCACAATCCCACAAGTTAAATTTAGAGAACAGTTCAGCGTGTATCATATTGGTGGCGTACAAAAGTCAGTTTAATATAATATTTACGATAATTAAATTTGGGTTTTATCTTCTTAACATAGCTTTATTTAAGATGAATATTTGAAAAAAGAAATGTTTATTTTTGTTTCTAGTTTGCCTCTTCCTCCTATTTGCATGGAGTCCAAAGACAATGAAGGGACCAGGAATATCTATTATTTTATGTATGCTTTTTAACATTTTGTATGTTTTGTGTTTTTTTATATATATATAGGTAGGAGATACTCTGCATTAGTCAATAGTTTAAGATTATGTGAGGCCACAAATGAGAAAATATATTTTTCACATGTTACTGGGCTGGATGGTTAATAAAGCTAATTTGTGAATATTCTTGTGATTGTGAAGTTCATTTCACAAATGTATGAACAAAAGTGAAAAACTTTAGTACAGTGGATCATCTTAAAAGTATACTAGAAATGTTCATTACGTCCCCTTCTGGACATATATTGGCATTAAGGACTGAATGGGTTAACTGTCATTGTGATACTCCCTGTTTTAGGTCTCTGGAAACAGTTGCACTCGATCAGCAATTGATGAACATTGCACAAGAAACAATGTAACTGCCCATGTGAAGGTGACTCATGGTAGAAATATGATATTTTCAGTTTTTTTCTATTGCTATCATTAAAGGAAAGGAATTATGGGTGCTACTGTATATGAGGATAGAAAGCTCACATAACTAGGAAGTGGACCAAAAGCACTCAATATGTTGAGTCTTAAATGCAGTATGTTGTGATAACAGTATAGAGTTAACATTTTATTCCATAGCTACAAGTCACACCCTTAATTTAGAGCTGGACACAAACTGAATAGACTGAATATCAGGGCTAGTTTTTTTGTATGTAAAGGTTTGTGGTCACAGAACTGGTTTGTATTGCTTCAATTGTCAAAGATATTAAGGGAGCCTCCTGTGTATTTTTTTTCTTCAAAAGGACATGATTCCTGTCTTGTCCTGTGAGAAATAATCAAGAACACTACACAAAATGGGACACAACACTTGATTGTGCTTGACATGTGCCTTTGCACTACCATTCACAGAAGGAACCTTGTTGTTCGCTCTAGCTTAGAAAAGACCGACTCTTTTATCTAATCAAATAAAGCTGGTGTTCTGGCTTGTGTTTCATAGGCAGTCATTCTTTTTTTAAACTTTGCCCCTGGGATGACACAGCCAGTCCATGCCTCAGAGGTTTCCAACCAGTCAGGATATGCATAGGTCCTAGGTTAGTTGTCATTGTGTGCTCACAGCAATGTAAAGCATCATGTTCTGTGAATAATGCTAGGATTTTCAGACTAGAGCTTCTAGGATTTTGTCTGATTAAACATAGGCTCCACCTAGTGGACCCATCAATGCTGATTATAAAGAGAAAAGCAAAGATGCTGGGCCAGATTGAATTTTTTATTTGTTTCAGCCTCACAGTTTTTTTTTATAGAGGAGGGGAAAAATATCAGCATTTAAAAATTGTCCAAAAATATTATTAAACTCCCTGTGGTGATTCTTAGAAGTGTGGTCAACTCTGTCTGTACTCTTTAAGGTATGGTCTCAGCCCCACTAGCAAATGGGATGTATCTGATCAGCAAATGGGATGTATCACACCTCACACCTGCATCATTGACGGTCAGAACTTTGATACTCTTCAATATGCTTCGACTGATCCTTAGAAAAACCTGTTGCTGTGCAGAAAGTGTGTATCTGAGCAGTGGATAAAGATCTACATTTTCAGCCTAATGCCTTTTGCCTGTTTTGACAGAATAAAGTCCCTCAGACTCCCTCAGAATTTTGGTCTCTGGTATACTGTGCTGTGAGACATAATATTTCGACTGTCAGAGTGTCAGAGCTAGAGCTCTTTAGTTGAGCTGAGATTCAAATTCTGGGTGGGTGCTGTTGTACCTTTGAGCAAGGTACCGTACTTCACTGAGATTGTAGCAGTAGAATCCCCTGCCACATAAAAAGATGGGTAAAAAGATAAGTCTCTTTTGAGAAAAGCATCCACCAAATTAATAATAACTGTGTTGAGGTCTAGGCTTTAGTAAAGTAAAGAAACACTGCACTATCAACTATTTATCAGTCCTCTTCACATGGGAAACCAATCTGCCTTTTGTCTCTATAGGGATGGTGATCAATATGTATACGGCAACATAATAAATAGGCCAAAGATGGTCAACTCTTGCTTTGAGAGCCACAGTCCTGTAGGGTTAGCAGACCTCAATAACTGATCAATTAATTTATATTTTGATATATTAAGCCCATTAATTCATTATTGCTTACATACAACAAAAAATAGAAGACTAGATGCCCAGGATTAGGGTTAGGCACACTTGTGCAGTTACTGTACAAACATGTCTATAGAGCTTTGGAGCTTTTGTAGATATCATTTGATGTTAAATATTTTTAAACAGAAGCCTAGATGTCTTCATATCTTTAGATGGACATTTCTACATGAAGCATATTGACATTTTGGAATTATTTTAGTGACATTGTGAGGGAGAGGAGCTTAGGCAGCATCCCATCGATCCTTCAGTTTGCACTTATAAATCATGTCACTGTTGTGCAGTGAGGTCTTTGTCTTGTGGTGTATAGTGCTAATTCCTTCTCGTTCAAAAACCTTTCCTTTAATTCATTAATAAACTGTGGGATGTTCCTCTGCTGTCCTCTTGATTTAGAAATAATTATGGTGTTTTAGGAACTCAAGCTGTTTTTACCCAGTGTTGACAGAAAAGGCATGGTGGGTTTAGTAAGATGAGCTGTCACTGATTTAAAATCCATTTGCTCAAAACTTTTAACAAGACAAGTGGGTTTTTTTGCATCGGGATATTCTACCCTGCAGCCAGTCATAGATTAACAAGAGGGAAATGTCAGTCTCCCACTGCCCACTAATAACTCTCACAGCTGAGTGGCTGTTAGACAGCATCCATTCAGTCTCACAACAGCACAGCAATTCTGAATATGAAGCAGCCCTTGGTTTATTTGTGTGCAAGTGTGGCTTCAAAAAAGAAGATTCTGTCCTTCTCTTGCTTGTACAATGTCTAGGGTCCAAGGTGGGTGTAGGTGGGGGTAATACTGTAAATAAATAACAGTAGAAAAAAATAATTAGAAACCATAAAATTATTTCTTGAAATCATTTCTGCTGGAAGGTAGTAATTTCTGAGACCTCTTGAGTGCTGAATTTCATGATGAACTGGGTTGCTTTCCTTGTGGAGCCTGCATGGTCTCTTTTGTCTGCATAGTGTTTTCTAAATACATTATGTATTTTATATGTATTTTATAAATACATTAGGCAATGCATTTTGAGTAATACATTTTGGCATTTGGACATGAGCCTACACACTATTTTTTCATAAAACTGTTCTGATGAATTAAGAAGTGCTGAATAGAGTGTAGTTTACGAGAAGCGTTATTAACATTGTGAAGATTTCATAATGCAGAATGTACAAGGGCAGACGGGATTATGTTACTGAGGGTGGTCCTGAACTATTTCTGAGACCTCTTGAGTGCTGGATTTCATGCTGAACTGGGTTGCTTTCCTTGTGGAGCCTGCATGGTCTCTTTTGTCTGCATAGTGTTTTCTAAATACATTATGTATTTTATATGTATTTTATAAATACATTAGGCAATGCATTTTGAGTAATGTATATGAGCCTACACACTATTTTTTCATAAAACTGTTCAGATGAGTTAAGAAGTGCTGAATAGAGTGTATTAACATTGTGAAGATTTCATAATGCAGAATGTACAAGGGCAGACGGGATTATGTTACTGAGGGTGGTCCTGAACTACAGCTGGAGGCTAATACGAAGGTTGTGGGTGAATCCTAGAGTTTGGACAACAGGCTGGTGTAAGTGGTGGTCTGTCATTTAAATGAGATTCTGCAACACTCAGACAGAGTGGTAGTAATGAGAGACAAAGTGGCAGCTGCTCCTGTAAAGACAGCCATAGGCAGCAGAGAGCTAATGTTTCATCCCTGGAGAGGCTTAATCGAGACAATGTGAAGAACTTTCTTGTGTATCACATAAGAGAAGTTCCATATTAAAAGTCATACACTACAGAAGTTAGAAGATATCAGAAAATATAAAAAAATAAGTGTATTTATTTATATTATTCTGAGTGTGTGAAATTATAGTTGTAATATTCAGAAATCTAACACGCTACTAATCCTTACACTTATATAGAACTTTTCTGGAGACTCTCCTCAAAGTGCTTTACAATGGGGACTACCCTACACCTGGATGATGCGACAGCAGCCAGTGCGCTCACAACCTTTCAGCTGTCTGTGAGGAGGAGAACAGAGTAATGAAGCCAATTCATAGATGGGGATTATTAGGAGGCCATTATTGGTAAAGGACAAGGGGAAATTTGGCCAGGACACTGGGGTTAAACACCCCTACTTTTTTTGAGAAGTGCCAAGAGATTTTTAATGACCTTGCAGAATCAGGATCTCACTTTTATGTCTCACCTGAAGGTTAGTATCTTTTTTTTTTACAGTATAGTGTCCCCATCACTATACGGGACATATAGGACCCACACAGACTGCAGGGTGTGCATACCCTATTGGCACCACTAGCACCTCTTTCAGCCAAGAAACCACAGCTTTCCCAGGAGGTCTCCTATCCAGGTACTCACCAGGCTCACACCTGCTTAGCTTCAGCTGGTTGCTCGT